TCAGGTCGGGGACGAAGAGAACGTCGTGCAGCACCACCGGCTTGCCATCCGCTCCCTTAAACGCAGCTCGTCCCGCACCAGCCACCTTCAACATGTGTCCAGAGGCGGAGCACACTTCATTGATCGGTGCAGCTCGTACTTCGTCCAGCAGGTCCTTGCGCGGCGTCATCGTCCAAGCAGCGCCTGTGTCCAACACCCAATAGTCTAGGGGGTGCAGCTCTGCTCCAACTTTGGCAGAGGCGTCTCCTTGCTCCCCCTTGTCTCCCACATGGAAGAATTGGCCCGCGGTGCGCTCCTTCTTCTTCTCCGCACCGCCGTTGCCCTTCGGGTTGTTGTCGGACGAATCAGCGACCATGTTGGCGCCGTTTTTCTGGTTCCTCCGCGCGCCGCCATCCTGGTGACGATTCTGGGGGGTCCATCCATCGGGTTTCTTATAGCACAAAAACCAGGGGTGCCCTTCCTTCTCACAATACCAGCAACTCCCTTTCATTTTGCCACCAGCACCCGACTTGCCCCCACGTCCAGATTTCGCACCGCGACCCCAACCGGTACCTCCTTGTTGGTCGTTGGAGTCATCGTCTTTCTTTGCACCGCGTCCAGCACCACCGAAGCCACGTCCTCTGCCACGTCGGCTCCCTTGCATCCCGTAGCCGCTGCTGCCGTCGTCTCCACCCCTCAGTTGGCGGCGACGGAAGTCCTCCTCCAGAATCTTCGTCCGCACCCACTCGAGCGTCCACAAGCTCTGGTTCTGCGGCAGGCTCAATCCGCTCGTAAATTGAAGCCACGATTCTGGCAGCAGCGAGAGCATCTTCAAGCACTTGGTCTGCTCCGGGTAGGTGATTCCCGCGGTCGCCAACTTCGCGTAGAGGTCGCGCATCTTGTCCAGGACTGGTTGCACCGGCTCTCCCTCGCTCAGGCGCAACGCGGACAGCTCCCTCTCCAGCATCAACGTTGCGACAACGGAGGTCGGGGCGTGCAGCTCCTTCAACACGGTCCACGCCTTCGGACCGCATTCAACCTCCGGCAGCAGGTGCATAACGTGGTGACGCTGGTTCAGCTCCAAACTCTGCGACATCAAATAGTAGCCAGCCGAGGAGCGCTCGTCCCAATCTTCCTGCAGCGTGGGGTCACTCGGTCTAGGCTCCTCCCCAATCATTAGTTTCAGCAAACCGATCTGACGGAAATATAATTGCATTTTCCAGGCCCAATCATCATAGCCCTCACCATTGAACTTCTCGACGGTGAAATTCTTCAGCACCTCCTTGACAAGCGAGCCCTGGTTTGTTCGCGCTCCCCTTGGCGCTGAAAGACCAGAATCTTGGCTGCCGCTACGATCTTGGGCTGAAGATTCACCAGCTCCCGCCGAGGTGTTGCCCGCCATAGCTACCTATAACGAGGATCACTATAACGCGGCTCTGATACCAGCTTGTTGGTGTAAGGGCCTAATAAACTCAAGCTATTAGGACTTAATCAAACTTAAAACCTCTCCTCGGGGTCACCTCCAAGGGTCCCTGGGTGCCTGGTACAAGACCAGCCCCTATCCTCGGGTCCGAGTTTGTAGAGAGAGGGATCAAGAAGGACTTAGTCAAAACAGCAAGAGCACCTTGAACGTCGCGTAGCGTGCCGTGCAGACCGTCGATCGGATTAAGCTGAGAATTCGCTATATCGAAGCTCGCTCCAAGAGCTTTAAAATGAGCCAAGTTGCCTCGCGAAAAGTTCTGCCATTACGAAGTTATGGCTCAGACGGTGTTTGCCTAGCATTAGAGTGCTAGCGTACTAGCGTTGACTCGGGTAGCATTCCGCCAACGAACCGCGTAGAAACGAAATTCCAGCGAGGAAGGAATTCGCATGAATCAATTGACTATATTCAGGTACAAACAGAGAAGGATTAAATAGTTCTAGCTAGCAAGGACCTTGGGAATCAACCTGGGAACAACCAGGGATGATCCCAAATAATTCCAAGCAACAGAACCAACCTGGCTGGACAAAATAGCAGGTGGTAGGTTGGTAAACAACCTCTGGTTCTGTTTTTCCAACCTAGGAAAACAACAACCAGGTTCAGGTTCTAAAAACAGAACCTGTTTTGTCTTTGCCCAACCAGCCAAATGCTGGTTCTGCTGGTTTCCCCTGGCCTTGTAGCATGCAGATACAGACAAACAACATCCAACCTTCACCTAAATTGTACCCCTATAGTGCCTTCCCTGCTACACTATAGTTAACCAAACAAAACAGTACAATTTCGAGTTGGATAGAACTGAATCTGCGCAATCAACTCAACCGAACTGCAAAGCTTCCATCTTGGGTTCCTTTGCGAGCTCGTCCTTTCTGCTTGCACTGTTCATAGCGCGTACAATGTTGTGCCGAAGCGCACATTTCGCGAGTACCTGCAAATGCATCAAGCGAAAAATGCGAAAGCAAACAAACACACGAACACACCATTCACACACAAATGCATTCGCACACGCATACTCGTACAAACAGACGGCAGGATGTCGTGCAATGTAAATTTGCACCCAACAGAGATGCCGGGAGAACCAGCAACTCTCAAGGAGGCCTTGGAGAGTGGTGATGCTGAGGAGTGGAAGAAGGCAATGGAGAGTGAGCTGAAGAGCATTGAGGAGAACGACACGTACGAATTGGTGGAGCTACCGGAGGGGCGTACGGCGATTACGTCCAAGTGGCTCTTCAAGATCAAGTCGGATGCCGACGGCGTGATCGAGCGCTACAAGTCTAGGCTGGTGGCCAAGGGGTACCAGCAGAAGGAGAATGTGGACTACAAGGAGCTGTTTGCTCCTATGGTGAAGCCGACGACGCTGCGAACCCTACTCGCGGGAGCCGCGATCAAAGGTTGGGTGGTGAAGCAGCTAGACATCGTAACGGCGTTCCTCAACGGAATCCTCGAGGAGGAGATTTTCATGGCGCAGCCAGAGGGGTTTGACGATGGCAGCGGCAGAGTGTGGAAGCTGAAGAAGGCCCTCTATGGGCTGAAGCAGGCCCCTAGACAATGGTACCTGAAGCTGCGTGAAGTGTTGGAGGAGATCGGCTTCACTCCCTCAACGGCCGATCAACCCTTGTTCATGCTTGGCGAGGGGGAGCAGAGGAGCTTCATGGTGGTGTACGTGGACGACATCCTGATCTTCTCACCCTCCTCTGACCTTGTGAAGGAAGAGATGCTGAAGCTGCAAGACAAGTTCAAGTGCAAGTTACTTGGCGACGTGAACTTTTACCTCGGGCTTCACATCGAGCGTGATGTGGAGAAGCGGTGCATGCGGGTGCACCAACGCAAGTACCTGGAGGCCTTAGCTGCCACCTTTGGGTGGAGTGAAGGCCATGTGGCTACTCCCTTTCCTTCTGGGTTCAAGTGTGTGAAGGGACCAGAGGAGGAGAGCGTTGGTGAAGAGGAGAGGCGCCGTTTTCACTCGTTGGTGGGCAGCCTCATGTATGCGGCAGTCAACACACGACCGGATGTCGCGTTTGCTACCGGGCAGCTGGCAAGGGTTGTTCAATGCCCTAATGAGGAGCAGGTAGCTGCTGGAATGAGGGTGGCCAAGTATCTTGGCCAAACACCGACCGTTGGGCTGCAATATTCGGCAGCGGATGGTGTGGAACCCGGGCGTCTGTTCCTCACCGCCTATTCGGATGCTTCTTATGCATCGGAACCAGAGGACATGACAAGTGTTGGAGGGTTCATTTGCTGTGTTGGTGGAGGCCCAACTGCTTGGGAGAGCAAGAAGCAGGTGGACCAAGCATTGAGCTCGGTGGAATCCGAGTACATGGCACTCTTCCGTGCCGTACGGGAGATTGTGTGGCAGCGGCGTTTGTTGGCTGAATTGGGGGAGGAGCAGCAAGGACCTACCCCACTCTACTGTGACAGCCAGGGAGCCATTGCTCTAGCCAAGAACCCTGTGTTGCACGGCCTGACCAAGCACATGAGGGTGAAGTGGCATTGGACAAGGAGCATGGTGGCCGCGGGTGAAGTTGAGCTGCGTTACGTGAAGACGACGGGGCAGCCAGCAGACATGATGACTAAGAGGCTGGTGGAGCAGCAGCATTGGAAGTGTTGCAAGCTGGCCGGGATGGCTCTGAACTGAGAGGAGCAGATTCTATGGCCAACAATCCGAGGGGGAGTTTGTTGGTGCAACCCTACGGTTTGCACTCGGCTTGTTGTCCGTGTGCGTGTGCGTGCATGCGTGTGTGCATGGAGTGGTATGAGTGCATGAAATAAATATATATTTCATGCTTATAATGGTGTGTGAATGATGGGTCATGATGTCAGTGTGTGTGTCGAGTCAATAGCAAGTTATCGCTAGCCGCGTATTACGCGGTTATTTTGTGTGTCCCGCGCGGTTTCTATTTTGTCGTGCGCGGTTTCTATTTTGTCGCTTGTCGAATGTTCGGCGTGTCGCAGGTGTGTGCAGCAGACCCATCAAGAACTCAAGGATTAGTTTGTGGTGAAGAAACCGAGCCGTGGTTCAAGCTTCAAGTGTTTTAGAAGCTCGCCAAAAGGCTAAACTTCAAGATATTGAAGATAGTTACATTACAAAGTGTAGTGTAACATTTCTATGGGTGTAGGCCCTTGTGAAGTCTAGTTTCGAGACCCTTCTTGGTTGGGGACAGTGTGGCACTGTTCCACATCATTGTACCTCGGCTCTTGGGGTTTGTAGGAGCTGGGAGTCCTTCCCAACTCGTAACTCTTCCTAGTTGTTCGTAATTGTGTCTTCTAAGACTATGTTGCTGCCATAGTGCCGTTCGTTCAATCTGACGCTGTGACGTCAGTTCTTGACAAAATCGTGCGATCTAAATTGCCTATTGTAGGCCTTTTTAAGACGCTCCAGGTCCAAGTTGAATGAGATTATTTAGAGCTGTGACCAGATCGCTATGATCGTGTGAAACCGCTGTACATAAATCTGACTGCGCACTCTATCTTTCGTTCTAGGCCTATTGGAGCCTACTGTGATTAATAACACAGAAGGGCGCGACGCGCAAGGCAGCTGTGCGCGATGCGTCGGCAGGGTGCGATGCGCGGGGCAGCTGTACGCGCGACGCGCGGGCTGCCGTAGGGCGCGACGCGCGGGGCAGCAGCGCGCGACGCGCGGGCTGCCGTAGGGCGCGACGCGCGGGCAGCAGCGCGCGTCGTGCGGGCTGCCGTAGGGCGCGACGCCCAGGGCAGCAGCGTGCGTCGTGCGGGCTGCCGTAGGGCGCGACGCGCAGGGCAGCAGCGCGCGACGCGCTGGCTGCCGTAGGACGCGACGTGCAGGGCAGCAGCGGGGTGTAGGGCAGGGCGCTGGCGCAGGGCAGGGCGCTGGCGCAGGGCAGGGCGCTGGCGCAGGGCAGGGCGCTGGCGCAGGGCAGGGCGCTGGCGCAGGGCAGGGCGCTGGCGCAGGGCAGGGCGCTGGCGCAGGGCAGGGCGCTGGCGCAGGGCAGGGCGCTGGCGCAGGGCAGGGCGCTGGCGCAGGGCAGGGCGCTGGCGCAGGGCAGGGCGCTGGCGCAGGGCAGGGCGCTGGCGCACGACAGGGCTGCTGGCGCAGGGCAGGGAGCTGGCGCAGGGCAGGACGCTGGCGCAGGGTAGTGGGGTAACGCGGTAACCGCAGTCGGTCGCTAAGTATGGTGGGCCCATAAAAAAAAAGACGGTCCTACGGACCTACTGCTCTGATACCATGTCAAGATAGCAAGCAGGAATGAATGAACTAGCAGCAGGATGGGTACAAGTATGAAACCCTAATTAGGTTGTACCCCATATGGGCTACCCCACTACAGCCTACACAATAAGCAGCATATATGTTTGACAGGAGAACACTTGCAGAGGCAAATTCGATAGTGAGCAGGGCTAACTTTAGTGAAACGGCCCGTCTGACGATAAGACCGGGTCCAGGCTCCTTGTCTGATGGTCAGACGAAAGTCGTAGCTTAGTCATACGTTTCAGACGAATTTGAAGTACTTTTCAGAGCTGCCAGACAGAATTATATAGTTAAAATTCTAGACATCAGATTTCCTAGCCTATGTAGTTTCTAAGTTTAAGAAGGCTACCAACATCCTATTCTATTCTAAGAGGAATTACTAGCATTACTGCTTCCACTGTCGTCATCACTACCATTGCCACTGTCATCACTACCTCTTCCACTATCAGAGGTCTCAACCATTATGGCACTGGCTTGGCCCTTCCTCCAGGTAGGTAGTTCCCATGCAGCGTCTTCTGGAGCCCTCTCTCTCTCCCTTTTTGCAGCCTCTTCTACCTCTTTTCGTGCGCGTGTAGCTGCTTCTTCTGCTGCCACTTAACCGGGCGTGATCCTTCAGCCATGACTACCTCACGAGTCGGCCGCCTCTTCTTGCTGGCATACCACCTATCCACCAGCTCCTCTGTGTTCAGCTCATAATAAAGAAGAGACACCGTCATCAGGTCGCCCAGTGTCGTGTCGCACAAGCTGCTGCGCACCCAGGTTTTAATGATGTTCTGATGGCTGAAACCGCTCTCACATTCAACATTCCTGAGTGGTAGCATAGCAACAGCTATCTACAGGCGGCCGAGGTTCGGATAGGCTGACTCCCAACCCGGCGTTGAGAGCATCTGCGAGAGGCTGTCGTGGAAGAACAGGTCTTCGTGGTGAGTGGAGAGGATGGTAGTGAAGCTGGTGAGCTCCTTGGCGGCTTTGCCCCAGTCGACACCTGCTGGGAAGGGTAGGGTAGGGTGAGGAACATCGGCACAGCAGAGAGTACATAAAGGCACGGCAGCAATAACAGTTACGCGATGATTCGCTGTTCTAAAAGCAAAGCGCTAACCAGGGAGGGTGTATGGATGGTGGGGCTTCTTCTTGAACAGGTTGCGCAGCGGCTCAAGCTATTTGGGAAAACGACGCGCTCTCTTGGCGCACGAACGAGGGTACCGTCCCTGCCGAAACAGACAGCTCCCATCCAACGACTTGAGACTCTTCATGCGATCGTCGATGAAGAATACGGTCCTCCCAGCGAACTTGGACGCCGCCTCCACGCACGACGCCAGGTCACCCCCAAATTTCTCCTTCCCGATTAAGCCCTCTTGCAGCACGTAGGTGTGAGTCACGGGTGCTCCCGCACTGTCGATGCTTTCAACCTTCACCTTGCGATGCTCAGTGCTCCCGTGGTTCTTCAGGAACGTTGCTAAACGACCACTGTTGCCGTCGAAGGTGGAGCCGTACTCCACGTAGCGACTTGTCAAGATCAGTGTGGTGTGTTGCACCATCGGCAGAACCTGCGTCGCATCAAGCTGCGTCCCAGGAAAGCCATGGGAGTAGTTCCAAAACACGTTCTTACCTGTCGTCGCTGGAACTTGAGATCAAGGCTGTTCAGCTCCTGAAGCATGTCAACCAGAAAGAAGAGGAAAAACTGAAACTTCAAACTGGTAACAATAGTGTATGTAGCCTCGACGTACTCATACAGCAGGACAACGGCAGCAGGCAGCACGTCAGCAAAGCGCTCATGGCGTCCCCGCGTGAAAGCCAGCGAACGTCTTAAATCCCTTGCATCTCCAAGTTGGTCTATGTAATCACCTCCTGCAGCTTCTTGAATCGGGCATGCTGCACGATGCTGCGGCCGAGAATGTCCGCGAAGGCCCGGACGACTTTGTCGACGACGTTGAACTCGGGGAATTATTCAGCAACATCCTTAGCTGCCAGAGCCTCCCTGCGGTCATAACACGAGTAGGATTAGTGGGCGTGTACCACGTAAACGCAACAACACAACAAATAAAAACGACACAATACCTGTGGGCAACGCAATGGCACGGCACAATGTGCGGCACCCGTGTTCGTAATCGCGTCACCAGGCCTGTCTGCCCGCCCGTCATAACGCTCGCGTCGTCCGTCGTCATGCCGCTGATCCTTGTCAGTTCGAGGCCGCAAGCCGCAAGGTGTGTCAGCAGGACGGCCTCAAGCGACCTGGCGTCGCACTTCTCTACGGACAAGTTGGCGAAGAACTCGGTAACCACCACCGTGCCGCGGAGAAACATGGCATACACTATCATGTGTTTGCCACGCCTTCGGTCGGTGCTTTCGTCAAGTTGAAGGCCAACAAAGGGACTGAGGCTGATGTGTTGCATCTGCTTCGCCTTCAAGTAGCACACCAGCGTCTCGACAACTGCTTGTAACCATACCTGCGTCAAAGAGTACAATAAAAAATAGTAAATAAGGGGTGTTTAATACAACAGTGATGTGAACATGACAAACTTACGTTGAACAATAAGTCCCTTGGTACTTCGCCGGCATATCTGGCGTTCCCATCTCCGCCATGAACTGCACGAGTGTCATAAACATGACTATGGGTGTGCCGGATTCGCCAAGGAAACGCACAGTAAAAAAACAGCTTTATCAACCGTCGCGTTTCCACACTCTTATCTCCAAAGTTGGAGATAGATACATGCTTCTTCTACGGGCCTTCACGCTGCTCCAACCGGTCCTTCGCCTCCCGGTGCCGGATGCTCTACTGATGTTTCTGCATCGTTTGCTTCTGTATGTCGATGCCTCCCTCGCCCGAGCGCCAAACTGTGACTCTGGATCTGCGTACACCATGCAGATCTTGCACCTCATGCAAGATCTACCTTCGGAGGTGTCACCGATGATGAGCCAAAAGAAGTGGTGGTTCCACTACTCCTTCACTTTTAGCTGCAGCTCCTCTAGCGTCAGAATCCGCAGACCGGCCTTCTCTGCTCCACGGCTCTCCCCTCCATCTTTCTTAGTAGTGGGGTTCCTTGCAGAGGAAGGGCTTGGGCACTTCGGAAAAGAAAGCTTATGTTGCACATATTTAGTCTTGCCAGGGAACCGCGGCGGAAGGAACGGGGAGCGGGATTTTAAGGGATTGTTTTCACCAGGTAAAGCAGATACGATAGGTTGACCGGATGACGAACCCCCAGAGTGGCTTGTTCAGCTTGGTGATCGCAGGTGAAAATGGTATAAGCGGCTCGGCATCCATCTCAGCGAAAGGGTAAGGCTGCTCAGGAGAATCGGGTTTCTCATTCTCACAGACCGACAGAGCAATAGGAGCAGCTGAGACTGGAGTAGGGGTGAAACACCCCCCGGTTTGGAAATTCAAGCCAGTGCGTCGGCGTGGCAACGCACTGGAAGGAGGTGAAGCATGCAGAGTGGATGTTGGAGGGGCCCCTATGCGAGAGTCTACGGCCATCTCTGTGGAACTACGCACTGACTGGCACTGGTCCACGGAGGTAAGATGAAGGACATTAGGTGCTGTGGGGAGTGAGGGGGGACCGTCCGAACCGAGCCGCATGCATGAAGGTCCCCTCTCTGCTGGAAGCAGCCATGCCATTCATATCTTGCTCACTCGACGCGCACTGAGGGCTGTCGGTGTTGCAACTGCAGCCTTCTGCCGTGCGCTGGCACAAATATGCCAAACGAACTGGCAAGATTCGTGCCAGCGGGGTGACTGCGGCGCTGTGACGTGCGGTGTTGTCACCGACCAAAGGCAATGTACAGCCCGGCGGTGGCAGCACGGTTACGCGGCGGGTGGCAAGTCTCGTCCGTAACATTGGGCAACAAGCCATGTGGCCAACTAGCCAGGTGGGCAACTGGCCAGGTGGGGGAATTTGTCTGTTTCAGACGAGAAAAAACTCGATGTCTGCCGTCTCAGACGACTGTATAAGGATGTATGAGAAATCAGACGAATAAGTCAAGCGTCTCTTAAAAATCAGACGAAAATAAATAGCTTGTATACGACATCAGATGAACCTGTAAAAATGTGTTCAAAATCCAGAAATTCAGACCAGAAATACCACCTCCCAAAACTTATAGGTTAGGGTTTTCTATTGTTGGAACTTCACTTCTTTCAAAATCCCTTTGGTTCTAGCATGGTTCATACCCAGGTTGGTCTCAAGAAAGAGATACGCAGAACGAAATGTTTGATTAGGAAAGGTGGTGGTGGTGGTGGTGGTGGTGGTGGTGGTGGTGGTGGTCTCTAACAACCTATGCTCTCTAATGCATGGATCACTACAGCCTATAATATACAAATACCGTACATATGCTTGACACACCCCCATAGGCTAAGTGAGGGATAGCAAGAGAGAGCAATAAACACACATGGTCACAAGACCAGTCAAGAGACACAAGACAATGCTGAGGGTGGATATCAAGATCACCACACCTTCCGAGCACAAGCAAACGACCACAAGGCCAGTTCAAGAGTTGACAAATATATAAAGATGCAAGGACAAGCAGACCAAGCAACAAGAAATAATGCTACAGCAACCTAGCACCAGCGTCAACAAGGCCTAACTGCAGACAGAACATGTGGTGGTTAGGCGCTAGGGCCTTGGTGAAGATGTCTGCAGTGTTTGCCTCTGAGGCCACGAAGTCCAAGCGTGCCTAGCCGCGTCGCTGCAACCCTCGCGAGAGAAAATATCTCACGTCAATGTGCTTTACTCTGCTCACCAGTCATGGCTCTCGACACAAGAAAATCACGGCCTTCTTGTCAGCAAACAAGGTACCGCAAAGCGAGGCCGGTCACCAAGGTCGGCAAGCAAGAAGGTCAGCCAACGGAGCTCCTGCGCAGCCATGGTACTAGCGTAGATCTCTGCCTCTACACTGGATGAAGCCACTGACGACGACCGAGTAGACCTCCACGACACAGCTCCAACTCCCAAGCTAAAGCAGTACCATTGAGTGGACCTCCGCGTCTCCACGTCGTCGGCGTAGGAAGAGTCGCAGTGGCCAGTCAGAAAAACTGGATGTCTCTCTCCAACCACAAGCACCATGCTTGATGTAGTCGCCACGTACTTCGCCACCCTCACAGCAGTTGTCTAGTGAACAGGTAGGTAACTCCTAGTTGCAACAAAGTGAGAGAGGACGCAGAGAGAAAAGGCGAGGTCCAGACGAGTACAAATCGTCAGATACATGAGGCAGCCCACAAGCTCTGCGTAGGGACCACTAGACTCAAAGGACTCGTCGGGAAAAGGGTCAGCGAGTCGGTGGTGAATGGCAAGAGGAGTGGGCGGTATGGTAGAGTGCTGAAGCCCAAACCGCTGAAGGACCTGCTGCACCATGTGTGACTATGAGAGTGTAATTGTGCAAACGGCTCTGTCCCTGGTGATCTGCAAGCCAAGGTAGCGGCGCAGCTCACCAAGGTCAGTGCACGTGTGTCTCTTCTGCAATTCGGACTTCACCTCAGCCAGAGCAACCCTGTCTTCTGTAGCGAAGACCCAGTTGTCGACGTAGAAAAGAACAAAGAAAGGAGTGGAGCCTCTGCGAATAAACAGTGACGGGTCGACAGATGAAGGGTGGAAACTGAGGTCAGCCAGAGTGCTACGTAACGTGTCGTGCCACTCACGGGGCGCCTGGCGGAAACCGTAGACTGGTCGTCTTAGGCTCCACAGGGTCCTAGGTGGGAAAGTGCAAGTGAAGCCAGGAGGACGATGAAACAAGATCTCCTCGTGCAGGCTGCCCTTGAGAAAGACATTGGAGACGTCGAGGGAATGCAGCTCGTAGTCCCGCTGTGCTGCAACTTGAAGTAACACCCGAAGAGTTGTCATCTTCGGGTTCGAAGCAAAGATATGGAGGAAGGCAACTCCCTCACGTTGACTGAAACTTCTAGACACGTAGTGCTCTTTGAAGGAAGGCGGCGATTCAGGCGGCTGCTTCACCTTGAAGATCCACATGCCGTCAACTACGTTCGCTCTAGGAGGAACTTCGTCAATGTAGGTGCCTGTGCATCTCCAAGACTCCATCTCTGCGTAGGAGGCCCACTGCCCTGACACTGCCCTACGGTACGTGCGAGGAGTCGAAATGTCAAGGGCGTCGGGGTCTCCCATAGGGGAATGCAGTATGGCACAGAGAGATGGGGAGAAGCGGCTGCCAAGAACTCTAGCTCAAACTGTCTGTCCTCTAGGACGTCACAACCACGAACAACCTCACCCCAGGCGGACGGAGGATAGGTAGGCGGAGCAGCCACTACACGAGAGGCGAAGTCAATGAGGAGGGTGACAGCAAAGTCAGCGACAACGATAGTAAGAGCCGAGACAGACGACGGAGAGGCACAAGGGTCAGTGACAAGAGAGGCGAGAACATGCAAGACAACAAGACGAGCAGCACGGTAGTAGTCAGTAATAGGGTGAGAGGAGACAGTGAGAGACGGCACAGGAGGTAGCGGGAGAACAGACACGGACGAAGCACGATGAGGACTAGAACGAAATAAGACAGTGCAGAGGTCGTCACAAGGAGACGAGGGACGAGCACGCGGAAGACAACGGATGGTCCAGTCGGGCGGGAAAACGGGGGGAGGCGATTGTGACCGAGGAGGAGAGAAAACAGCCGGAGTCAAGTCCGTGGGAGGAAACGTAGGACCGTACGTGGTAGGAGACTCTGAGCGGACAGGGGAAGAGAGAAGACCAAGGACCCGAAGGCCACTCACTGGTGGGAACAACTGCTGCAAATGTGGCGGCGGCTGCTGCTGCTGCTGTTGCTGCTGCTGCTGCTCCTGCTGTTGCTGCTGCTGCCGGCCCAAACGAGTTGGAATTAGGAGAGCTAGATAATGCATAACAAAGCAGAATATAGCAAGTAAAGTCCAAAAAAGCCGTCGTACCCTCACAGGTCGGCCTTTCGTGATTGGGGATGCCTTGCACTTGTTTGAAGGAGCAGAATGTTAACGGCCCAGAGAATTTCGCCCAAAAAGGTTGGAATAAGGAGCGTCGGATCGAGTTTCTCCTCAACAGCCGAGATCGGACGCGAATTTCACCTATAGAGAATTGTGCAACGTACAAAATTCACGCTCGTCGATTCTACAGTCAATTCGACTCGCACTAAGTCAACCAGCACCTAGAATCTATTTTTGTCGCTCATCTTCTTGTCAATGCCAAATGGAGGGAAATAGATATAATTTAGTACCAAAAAGTGCGGAGTTACGTGCTGAGCATAAACAGATACATGCGGCACTCCCACAACTTGAAAAACTCCTTGCAAACCAATCGATAGTAGCAGCAGCAGCGACAACGGCAACACCGACAATTGTACATGCGAGAACGGCAGCAGCTACAGTTAACCTCGAAGCAGTGAAGCTAAGGCAACCAGATGCGTTCGATCCTACAGTCAAAGGGAGCAACGTTCATCGATTTGTAGCTGAACTCGAATTTTATTTTCAAAGCCGTTGGATGCACGACCCTCAACCAAGACGCAATGCGCATACGAGACCCAGCTCTAGAGTGGATTAGCAACAGATTTTTCCAAGGCGAAGGGACGTGGACGCAGTTTTGGGTAGCACTGATCGAACAGTTCAACGCGTAGAACAATAGCTACTACGGAACACGTTGCAGTCAGCCAAATAGTGGCACGGGGCGATCGGCACCACCCACGACTGCCGACCCGATGGAGAACGACAAGGACGATGCGACGCAGCGGCTAGTTAAAAACTGAGACGTACAAATTTTGCGGCGCTACAGGACATCGTATCTTGGCGTGTTGGAAAATGAAGAAGAGGCGTGTGGAGCTGAAGGCAAGAACAGTGCGGCACCTCCGAAGCAGAAAACGGACAACCTGGCAACTTCGGAGAAGGCGAAAATAGGAGGATATGATGGCACGAATTTAAAACGTCTTGACCAGCCGGCACCAGGGGAAATTGCCGAGGCCAAAGGAGACTCCGCGAAACAAGACCCTACACCGACCGGGAAACTCTAGCCGTACACCCTAACAAGTAAGAATACTACTTCTCGAGGTTTTCAAGCCTTTATTAAGGGCTCTCCCTTAAACTGGTACCAAGTAATATGCTACCCTACTCCGGAGCGTTGATTCGGGTTGAATATTCCGAGAAATTAATACTCTCTCCCAGAAGCACGGTGTAAAGGCTCCCCGCCGTTCCCCGTAGGTGAAGCCTACACAACTGCAAAGGCTTAGGGGAAGGTTCCAAGCCCAGGAGAAGCTGAATCAGCCTTCTAACCCTGCTCCATTGAAAACGGATATTGAGTCAGCAGCTTCGAGTGCTGGACCTAGGGATGATACTTTCGATGTACCCTACGATCCTGTAAGCAAGACCATCTACAGCTAATCAGAGTGGCAACAACCACTACTCCTCGAGGTGATCTGGAACGGGCGACGCCTCCAAGCACTCATGGACAGTGGTGCGTCCCACTCGGTATGTGACACGGGACTTTGGAGAAAATTGGAGAATCCTCAGAGGAGACTCGCCTTACAGCAACGATGGTGGACAGTATGAAGCTTCCCATCCACAGCGAGGCAACACTGCAGCTGCAGATAGGGGCGTTGAGGTGGAAGCCGACGTTGCCGATCACGAACATCAAGGGACTAGATCTTATCTTGGGGCGTGATTTTCTGAAGCGGTTCAACCCCGAGATTGACTGGGTCAACCGGAAGGCGTGCATCTACAACAATGGGAAACGTGTGGAGCTGCGAAGCTGGACGGATACAGGGGATGTTCCTGAAACGACACTTGCACGGTTCGAACGGACAGTGAACGAGAGTAATACATGTTACTTAGCACTGGTTATGACAGCGGCAGAGGGGAGAAGCCGAACCCGGAGCTACCTGCAGCGGTACAAGAGGTGTTAGTGTTGGTGTAAGGGCCTAATAAACTCAAGCTATTAGGACTTAATCAAACTTAAAACCTCTCCTCGGGGTCACCTCCAAGGGTCCCTGGGTGCCTGGTACAAGACCAGCCCCTATCCTCGGGTCCGAGTTTGTAGAGAGAGGGATCAAGAAGGACTTAGTCAAAACAGCAAGAGTACCTTGAACGTCGCGCAGCGTGCCGTGCAGACCGTCAATCGGATTAAGCTGAGAATTCGCTATATCGAAGCTCGCTCCAAGAGCTTTAAAATGAGCCAAGTTGCCTCGCGAAAAGTTCTGCCATTACTAAGTTATGGCTCGGACAGCGTTTGCCTAGCGTTGGAGTGCTAGCATACTAGCGTTGACTCGGGTAGCATTCCGCCGTCGAATAGCGCAGAAACGAAATTCCAGCGAG